CTGTTTCAAAAGATTCAAACTATGTTTGTTCACATCTAAGGTGCAGATAAGGTCAGCTTTTACAGATAGTTCAAACATAGCAAGAACTTGATTGCTTTATGTCTAGCATCATAAAGCAATTTCATTAAAAAGTTATTACTGGACTTTTTTTTTCTTTTTATTTGCAAGCTTTTTGCATGCTTTGCTTTGCCCTAAGAAATTAAAGCTTATCAAAATGTCATCCATGGGTTTTATGACAGCACGTTACTGACATCACCAAGTACACTCAAGCTGTAAAAACGTAAACATTATTGCCAAACTTCAGGGGCAAAGAATCCAGTCATACACAATCAATCCTGGTGAGGTGTAACAATGGAATGCAGTTGAGACAGTAGATGGCTATTACCCATATAGCTTTTAGGAGGCACATGGGGACCTGTGACCAGCCTTTGAGTCTGAGAAAGTTTGCTTTAGAGACATTTTGCCACACAGAAATAAACAACACTTCCTCATTCTCTCAAATAAATGTGGGCCAAGATCCAAAGTGTACTTTGACATTCTGCGTCATTGGAACTTGCTTCCATTATGCCTTGAGTTGCACCCTTCCATGGCTTCCGAGCCTTCCAGAACAAGGTTTAGAGAGCTGGGGTGGGGTGGCACAAATTCCAGTTGGAGTAGTAACCAGTCTGCTACTGGGGCTTTGCCATGGTATCCCAAGAAATTCCATTGTTTCAGGGCCCAAGAAAACAATGCATTTAGCAGACATTGTCCCTTAAGCAGGTCAAGGTGGTTATTTTTCAACGTATGAGATTTGGTTCACCTACATATCTTGAATGTCATGGGGTATGATTTACTGGTCGCCTATAGTAAACAGGGAGTTAATTTTCAAGCTTTCTTGTTCAGGCATGTATCTCTCAGGAAGTCTTGTTGCAGAATGGGAAGCAGGTTAAGCTGAGGAAAATATGCTTTCTCTTCAAGGTAATAACTTGACTTCTACATTATTGTGGCTCCTACAGAAGGCCATTTTTCAGGCTAGGGGATTCAAGACCACAGACTTGTCAAGTTGGTCTTAAGTTGTACTGGTGACTCGACTTAGACTTGACTTGCGTTTCTTTTCAAAGTCTTGGACTCGGCTCGCGGCGGAACCCACCACTCCTCCCTTTTTTCCTGATGGGAAAAAGCTTGCTTTTCATGAGGACTGGGATGTGGGGCTTGGGACTCAGGACTTGGTAACAAAGACTCAGACTCGGACTAAGACTGAAGGCATGCCAACATCCCTGCCATTTTAAATGATACATTTTGGTCCACAAGGCAGATTTAAGAACCAAGAGTGCAGAAATGTACGATAGCAGAAAGGACTGGACTGCTGCAAATGGGAGTGGGGGTGTGTGAAATTGGCCTCCAAAAAGGACTCAATGAATGCCACGGATCCTTTCATGGAATAACTCTCAAAACAATTAAGAGAAAAAGTAGGATAAAAATCAGTATAAGTAGTAAGCGATAATGAGAATTAGTAACGAGCAATAATCATGTACATAAACAACGACCACCTCACTGTGGAATGGACCAGGCCACATCCTTTCCCTCAATAGTAGTTTTTTTTTAACCTTCTGGGGACTTCCATCTAAAGGTATTTAAACATTGTTTGGGCTGCTTATATGACAAGTCCATTCTGGCTCCTCATTCCGCCATCTCTGTGGCCTTGACCATATTTCTGAAGGGGCCACCAGCAAAAGTCTACCCTGTCTCCCTGAAAATAAGCCCTAGTATGATTTTTCAGGATGCTCGCAATATAAGCCCTACCCCAAAAATAAACCTTAGTTAAGGGAAACCCCGCCCTCCACTTTTGTGCAGCAACCAGAAGATAACATGACTATATTTGAATAAATGAATTGTTGTACAGTACATGAAGAAATAAAACATCCCCTGAAAATAAGCCCTAATGCATTTTTGGGGGCAAAAATTAATATAAGACCCCGTCTTATTTTTAGGGAAACAGGGTATGTCTTTCTGCCAGCAGGCATAGACTCTTTCATCCAGGCAGGCTTTGGCATCTGTCTGGCTGCTGAGGTTGGGGCCTGTTACCAGTGAGAGGCTGTATTTCTCTAGGATATGTTCTTACATCATGTTTTTAACTATAGGTGTGCAGACTTGTAGTCTTGAACTCATTTCTCAGAATTCCCCAGACAGCAGTCACTGGCCATACTTAAGGAATTCTGGGAACTGTAGTAAAAAACAAACCAACAAAAAACAAAACAAAAACACACACTAGCCGTCATATTGTATTTTTAACCATGATTTTAATTCATTTGGTTTTTAATGGCTGCTCTTGTCTTGTGTTTCAATTGCATTCTTTATAGATATCCTTTAAGCTCCGTTCCCAGCATTCCTGCCCACTGTCCATCTTTGAGTGGGCCGGGAGGGATTTGGAGTCCAACCACCACCAGTTTTCAGCCCTGCCATCAAACTAGCATTCTGCCCATAGGGTTACTCACCTGCCATTGCAAATCCTCCCACCTCAACGTCCTCTTTTGGGTCACAGGACCACTGCTCACAGCACTCCCTGGGGACTTCGATTTTTCTCGGGAAGGGGCAATCGGGCCCCGGCAGCAGCAAATCAAGTTTACAACGAGGGATGCAACCGATCTGCCCATCTCTGCATGTACAATGGTATTTACAGTTTGGCTGGAATGTCTCACCGCTCCGGTAAATAATCCCATCAAACACACAGTTGTCCCCTTCCCGATCTGAAGCAAAGAAGGAAAACAATCACATTGCAGGCGAACCAAGTATTGAATGACAACCCTTGTCAGGCGATACGAAGGACAACATTGCATAATGTTATTTTTCACAGAGATCACAATTTTCATGTTGGTGAAATTAAATGGTGTGGAGGAAGGAAAAGGGCAAAATATTGTGGCACTTGAAACACTAATCATGTTTTTTTCCCCAGTGTGAGCTCTTGCGGATCAAAATTAGCTTTTTCAAACACAAGGCATAACTATTTCCTTCTTGTTTTTATATTAGTGTGACCAGACAAGAGGACTGTTGCCTTTTTTAAGAAACTGCTCCCAGATCCTGTCCTGTAAAATGATTATGAAGGCAACAGGTTTTCTCCTGCTGAAGCAAATGCTCTCTGGAGCGAATCTCTCATTTGAATTCCTGCTTCAAAACATCCAAAGGCATAAACTGGCTTCATTTTAGATGTGTTCACAGTGGAGGAGGAGACCCCCTATAGCAGCAACTCTATATATTTTAAAGATTTATACTCTGCCTTTTGAACTCGGGGAACCCCAAGTCAACCGAGAACAGACTATACAATTTAAAAACAATTTGGTGTCTTTCCAGCTTAGAGACATGCTAGGGGGAGTGTAAGCTGAAAACTTTTCCTCTGCATTCCAACGCCTTTCCTGCTATGTTAAGGATGTTGTGGGAACTGCAGGGCATAGGCCAGCCCCGCTTCAGGAAGTATATTGCCAGGCAAGGAATGCCACTCCAGAGCTATTCATGTCAGATGCCAGGTATATGCCTCCCATTTCATATTTTGGCAGTGGAGGAACTGAGAGATCTCAAAAGGAGGAAGAAATCAATAGACTACCTCAATTTTCTCAGAGCACAGACACTCTGGTGACAACACCCTGGATCCTCCCATTCTGCCAGCTGGGAAAAAGCAACTTTTCTAAGCTCTGCATTCTTTCTTGGATTAATACTAGTTGTAAGGAGAGTTCTGAAAAGGATTTTCTTCCCCCTTTGACCACTAGCCATGAAGGGTCTGAGGAGTTATAAGCCCAAATCTAATGTTTCCAGGCTCAGAGGGCAGGTGTGAAAAATAAAAATAAAAGGATGCTTATGCAGCTTTCTTTCCGCGTCAGGTGCAAAACACAGAATTGACCGCTCTTGCTGAAATCAGACTAGAGTTGCCAGTTTAGGAATTCTGTACAGGGTTCTTGCCCTTTGGCTTAAGAACTGGATGAAGATCTCCATGCCATGAAACAGATGAAGGTTACAACACATTCTACAGTTCTGAAGTTACCAAATACAGTAGCTGGGCCCCAAAAAGGAAGCTGGGTTAAACGCTGGGTAGCTTGTCAATCCAGGTTTGACATCAAATGGGAAATTATGGATGATGAGACTGCAAAAATGTGCATGCTTGGTGAACTGTGCTCATGGCGTAGGGTTCAATCCCAGGTAGCGGCTCAAGGTTGACTCAGCCTTCTATGCTTCCGAGGTTGGTAAAATGAGTACCCAGCTCGCTGGTGTGTGTATGCAATATGTAGCCTTCATAATTAACTTGTAAACCACCCAGAGAATGCTTTACCACTATGGGGCGGTATATAAGCAGGGCACTTTGCTTTAGAGGAAAGCAGGTATAGGTGAACACAGTGTGGCATCTTCTTCTGTGTAGGCACATATAGGTCTGCAATGGACATGGATCTAATAAATTCGCAGGCCACCCCTGTGCAGAACTGCTGGCTCCCCAGTGGTTTAGGTCTCAGGATGGTGAGCCAGAGGTTGGGAGTTCAATCCCCCACTGTGCCTCCTTGACAGGGGCTGGAATTGATGATCCATAGAGTCTCTTCCAGTTCTAAGGTGATGATGATGGTGTAGAAGTCGGCACGCCAATTAGACTTCAGCATGTCAAAATCATTTGGAGACTAACACTAATGAAAAGCAGAATGATTTTCTTTTAAGCATTTTCTGTTCAAGTCATTATAGGTAATTCCATCTAAGGCAGAAGGTCCAAGCACATGCCTCTAAAGGCATGAAGTATGCATTTTTAAAGTCCTTCTAGATCTTCTGAGTGAAGAGAAGTTTTTAAAATGCAGTGACACGTGCCCAAGAAATAACAATCTTGGTCTCCGATTTGAAATTTAAATTCAGCACTAGAACTGAAGTTGTTCACTTTTGAAGCAACATTGTTCTAACAGAATGTCTTCTTCCTGCCTTTCTATGTCTCCAATTTAGCATCAAACATGCTCAAGGAGAGAGAAGTGTTCTTGTATCAACACACAGCTAAATGAAATGAAATTATCTGTAACCCTCCTGCAGCTAAAATGACAGCCAAAGAAGAGTGGTGTAGTGGTAGATCTGCAAGCGTAGGTGCTCATCATGAAGGTTCCTGGAGTCAGCCCTCGCCCCCAAGAAAGTTAAAAAATGCAGGCTGTGGGACTGATCTACATGAGAAAAGAAGGAGCAGGTATTTTGTATATCTGATGGCTCTTGATTGCCCATTCAAGCCCTACCTACCTTCAAATAGGATGCCTTACAAATCAGGATTTGCAATATACAGGTTTGTATCATAAGAACAAACTCGCGAGGTTGTTGTCATAATCACAACAAGTGTGCGTGCAAAGTGCTTCTCTTTGCTACATCTGTATACTGTCATTCTTGCAGCACATTCAGATTAGAGCCCATAGTCCTCCTTCACGCACATGGATTTTACAATAATCAGGCAAGGGATGTTATACTGGAAAAAAAGCAACCAGATCAATGGGCTTTACTGCTGAGAAGGGACATAAGCCCAGGTACTTCCACACCTTACAGGTGGAATTCTAATGGTGATCACTGCACTGACTGTCATGTTGAATCAATAACAACAACCACCTTAGAACTGGAGAGCTGGAAGGGACTCTATGGATCATTGAGTCCAGCCCGTTAAGGAGACACAGTTTTCATTGAGTACCTCTAATTACAAATCACCCCTTTTAAACCATTATGGTTTAACCATATTGTCTTAGCCTCCCACAACAACAAAAGACATCTGGTACTACTTTTCCTATGTTACTGCATATTACTTCTGAAGTTCTAGAGAGGAGAAAAACCTGCAACAAAGCAATATCTCAATTAAAATAAATAAAGTCTATGACCCTTAACAGCCACCAACCGACCATCACCAAGTTACACCTTTGGCATTTATATTAAGTTTCCTACTACCATCTTCCCAGTCAACTGAGGCTAATGTCTGTGCATGATGGGATACCCAGTATGGTATAGTGGCCAGAGTGATGGAATAGGAGTCAGGAGGCCTGGGTTCAAATCCCCACTGAGCCACAGAAACTCACTGGGGGAGTGGAACTGGTAAAACCACGCCTTAAATTTCTCGCTTACCTTGAAAGGACTGCTGTAAATCAGTTCCGATTTGGTGGCATTTAACACAGCATGATGTCTATGCATCTAAAAAAGTGGGACGCAATCTAGAAAAGCTTTATGGCAAATAAAACTGGCTGGTCTTTAAGGGGCCACAAAACTCCTTGTCGGTGGTGTTGCAACAAGCGCACTCTTATAATGCCCTGGAAAGGAACTGCATCTTCTCCTCGTTGGGAGGTCGCTAGACTGGGCACCTTTTTGGATCAAGGTGGATCACTCACCCATACAGACCCCCAAGCCCGGCGCGGTCCCTGCCCCGCGGTCACAGTAGAGGGCGCTGCTCTCCTCGCAGGGCATCATTTCCGAGCAGGTCTCGCCTCGCTGCCGAGCGCAGGTCAAGCAACAGGAGCATCCGTCCAGGATCGTGGCTACGCCGGGGGCGCAGCGGGGCGGCTCGGCGGGGCAATCGCAGGGCAGCTGGCACTTGCGCTGTCCCTCCTCCTTCTCCTCCTCTTTCTGGCCACGCACCTACAAGGGGTAAAAGGGAGACGCGTGTCAGCAGCAGTAGCCCCTTTTTTTGCCCGGGTGAGAGCAAGCCACGAGGCAGCGCCGCTTTTTGCGCCGGCGCACGCAAGCATCCTTGCAAACCAACCGCATTCACCGTGCAGAGGAGGACAAAGAAGAGGAGCAGCGGCGCGGGGCGCAAAAGGCGCTCTCCCGATGGCATGTTTCCGAGGCCCTCGCCGGTCGCGGTCCGTATCCCGCACCACGCTGGATGCGCATCGCACGCGCAGAGCCATTGGGGCCGATTTATAGACAGCGCCTCCGCACTCCTCGTCCTCCCATTGGGCGACGGCGGAGGAGCCGGAGCCAATCGGAGGGCTCGGTGTCAAATTCGGGCTTTAGCCTTGGGGGGGCGGGGCGTGCGTAAAAGGGGAGGGGAGGGGAGGGCGAGAGTCTGCGGGCAGCCGCGGTATCCAAACCCGGGAAGAGAACTTTGCGCGCGCCAGCGCAAGACCTCCAAGCAGTGATGGGGCTCTTAGCAACCACCTGGAATTTCAAGGAGCGACACCTCCTCGGGGTGGGGGCGTTAGTTTCTATTCCCAAACCTGTTTTCTGGGAAAACACACTTTAAGAACACTGGATCATTACAAAGTATTTGACAAGTTGCTTTTTCCACAACTTGCTTAAACCCCTTTTTTCCTATTGCAGGGGTTCCATCCCATTGGTGCGTTATAAAGCTACCAATATGAAGTTTCGAGGGGGGAGGAGGAATTACAGGAAAAGCCAATTTTTTTCCCAAAACGCAATTACTTTGAGAAACTTGGAGAAACAGTCCCATGCAATGAGTGAAACGCTTTGTAAGGATTGTGCTCAACGAGGCAGGAACCACATCGTTTGACGATTTTTTATATAAGACAGTCAATAGAATCAATGATTACTATGTGCTATCAAGTTGGCTTTGACAAATGGGGAGACCAACGCATTCCAGGTTTCCCTAGGTATAAAATACTCAGAAGTGGTTTAATCACTTCTTTCTAGAGGTGCACTGGGAACATGTCGCTTCCCGAGGCTGCACAGGCTGGTTCTTTACCTATAAGACACAGCGGGGAATTGAACTCTGCCGGCTCTGCGGCTGGGTGTTCCAGCTCCATGAGCTATAAACAATCATTCCTGTGCCTCTTGTAAATTATATGCAACACTCAAAATCCGAAATGTCTTAAGAATTCCGTGCATAGTAGGGTGCAGCACTTTGCAGTCTCTCTTCAATGTAGGCTACAATCAACATATTGCTTGTACAGAATGTTAGGTTTTATAGTTTAATTTCATAAATGTGCTAAATAGCAGAAATTCATATGCTGATTGAGTTATGATTGAAACTGATCATGTTTCTAAAATAGTGCAATAAGTGGAGGTTTGATCTGACAATGACCTACCCCACCCACCATCAGCTTTCTTTCTCCCCAAATATTCTCTCTCTCTCTCTCTGTGTGTGTGTGTGTGTGTGTGTGCGCGTGTGTGTGTGTGTGTTATACATAATCCCCTTGGTAAAGAAAGAAAGTGGCCTCTGTGCTGGAGGGTCAGAAAACCAGCAGCTGTAAGATCGAATCCATGCGACGGAGTGAGCTCCCGTCACTTGTCCCAGCTCCTGCCAACCTAGCCATTCGAAAGCATATAAATGCAAGTAGATAAATAGGTACCACCAAGGTGGGAAGGTAATGGCATTCCATGTCTAGTCATGCTGGCCATGTGACCACGGAAACAAACACTTGCTCTATGGCTTGGAAACAGGGATGAGCACCGCGCCCTAGAGTCAGACACGACTGGACTAAAAGTCAAGGGCAATCTTTACCTTTACCTTACAGGACAGATCCTCATGGAAGGACAGATCCTGATGGAAGGACAGATCCTGA